CTTTAAAAATAAATAGTTGAAAATTTTCTTATTATAAAATATGTCGAAAAATTAGGAGTCCTCAGGCAAAAATACCGCAGACTCCCTCAATGCTCTCTTCCTCAATCCTGATCCCCTCCCTTCTCCCTGGGTCAGGGATTTGAGAAGAAAGCAAAGCTTAAGTTTTATATTTTATAGTTGGAGTTTTGTTTTGTAATTTTTTACACTGTTATAAATGTTTCCACGTTTTTACTTGCAACAACAATTTTTATTTAATACATGGGCAAGAAAAATATCTTCTTATTGATAGTTTAAAGTTTGTGGGTGTATTGTCCTGCCTGGTCTCATGTAGTTTAGTATCCTCATCTTTTTAATTTCTGATTTTCTTTTTATTTTTCTTTTTTTATTTTTTTTTTTTTTTCGTGACCGAGACTCACTGTGTCGCCCAGGCTGGAGTGCAGTGGTGCATTCTCAACTCACTGCAACCTCCACCTCCCGGGTTCAAGCAATTCTCCTGCCTCACCCTTCTGAGTAGCTGGGATTACAGGTGCCCGCCCGCCCCCATGCCCAGCGAATTTTTGTATTTTTTGTAGAGACAGGGTTTCGCCATGTTGGTCAGGGTGGTCTCGAACTTCTGACCTCAGGTGATCTGCCTGCATCGGCCTCCCAAAGTGCTAGGATTATAGGGATGAGCCTCTGCACCCAGCCTAATTTCTGATTTTCATGTGTGATTTTTCTCAATGAGCTTTACCAAGATATCTTCAACCAACTCTCAGATAACCAGCTTCGGGGTTTATTTATCAATGTTTCTTGTCTTTAAAAAACAGATGAAAATTTTCTTGTTATAAATTATGTAGAAAAATTAGGAGTACTCAGACAAAAACAAAACAAAACAAAACAAAACCGCAGACTCCCTCAATGCTGTCCTCCTCAATCCTGATCCCCTCCCTTCTCCCTGGGCCATCCTAGGCAGGAGTTTGGGGTTCCTCAAAGGTTCTAGATGATTCAATCTGAATCTTTGGGCTTTGTGGCACCTTTCCACTGGGGGGATCCTTCCTTTCTCCCACCAGCGACTCTCCTTTTCCTTGTTACAATGACATTTAGGCTGTTTTTATAAATCAAACCTTGTTATATTTTGTAGCCACTGATTTGTGTTCATTTTCTCAAATCCAGCCTCTTTAATGGATTCTTCAGCTGTGATGGTGCCTGCACCTTGCATCTTGCCGGTGAGGAGCCCCTACGTTGAGGTGCAGCCTGGGCAGGATTCTTCCCACGGCATTTCTATTTCTGGAGGCTGCTGAGGTGACTTACTCAGGCCTGGCTCCAGGCCAACCTGTTAGACTGAAGAAGGGTAGATCCCTGCCTTTTTCTCTTTTCTTTCACCAGTGGGATGTTGGGGTACTCTGCAGATCCCCACCCTCTGCCTCCATCTATGGGACATGCAAACAAAAACATTCCCCTTTGTTTTGCTATGGTTGGACGTTTGCTTGCTAGAGTTTTACCAGTCTCCTCCCTCCAGAACCTCATCTTTTTGTTTTTCTCCTTAAAATGTTCACCACATGGCGTTATCTGGTGACTTGCAAAAATAACGCCTGGTTTTTGACCGAATTGTGTTTTCTTTTGGTGGTGTATACAATTGTCATCTATAAGTGCTACATAATGACTCTACATGTTACTACTTACCTCATGTGTGTCTACATGGCCTTGTGTGGATTACTTGTGATCTGTTACTAGCTTCTACCATGAGTGTGATTCCGTAACGTATTTTGTGTTTTTACTCGAAGTTCATGGGCACCATGTTGCCTGGTACATGGAAGTTCATTGGTTACAAATATTAAGATTTCTGGAGTCAGATTGCTTGAACCTAAATCCAGAGTCTCACCACTTACTACTAAAACCTTGATTTAATTCAATATTCGTTAAATATTAGTTGTGTGCCTATCAGGTGACATGTGTTGTTGTAGGTACTGAGACTAGAGCAATGAACAGAACGTATAAGGTCCCTAGTTCGTGCAGCTTACCCTGGGAGGAAGGGATTGAACCAGAGGGTGATGAATGCTATAGAGGAATAGCAAGGAGAATAAGGAGGCAAAGAGTATGTGTACTGCAGCTTTCTACAGGGTGGTCACAGGATAATTGAGCAAAGGTCTGAAGGAAGTGAAATTGTCAAGCCACATTCCTATAGCTTAGCAAGCGGCCTACAGACAAAGGGAACATCAAATACAAAGTCACACTTATCCTAAAATCAATAGGAAAACATAGAAGGGGAAATCAGAAGATTAACATGATCAGATTTGCATTTAATTTATTTATTTTAAATGGACACATAATAATTGTACATATTCATGAGGTACAGTGTGATGTTTCAGTGTATCTACTGTGTAATGATTAAATCTGGCTACAGGTTGAGTATCCCTTATCCAAAATGCTTGGAACCGGAAGTGTTTGATTTCAATTTTGTTTTTTAATTTTGGAATATTTTTATATACATAATAAGATATCTTGGTGGAATCCAAGTCTAACAAGTCTAAATACAAACTTCATTTATATTTTATATACACCTTATACACATAACCTGAAGAAAATGAAATATAATATTTTTATTAATTTTATGTATGAAACAAAGTTTGTATTGAACAGTTATGTGTGGAATTTGTCCCTTGCGGCATCATGTCAGCACTCAAAACATTTTGGATTTTGAAGCATTTCACATTTTGATTTTTTTTTTTTTTCCCTGAGTCAGAATATTGCTCTGTTGCCCAGGTTGGAGTGCAGTGGCATAGTAATGGCTCACTGCAGTCTCAACCTCCTGGGCTCAAGTGATCCTCCCACCTCAGCTTCCCAAGTAGCTGGGACCATAGGCACATGCCACCATGCCCAGCTAATTTTTTATATTTTGTAGAGACAAGGTTTCGTTATGTTGCCTGGGCTGATCTTGAACTCCTGGGTTCAAGCAATCTGCTTGCCTCAGCCTCCCAAAGTGCTGGGATTATAGGCATGAGCCACCACACCTGGCCTAGATTTCAAATTTTTGGATTAGAGATGCTCAATCTGTATTTAGCATATTTATTACCTCATACATTTATGATATCTTCATGGTGAGAACATTCAGAATCTTCTCTTCTAGCTATTTTAAAATATGCAATATAATATTGTTAACCAGTCACCCTAATGTGCTATAGAACATCAGAACTTTTTCCTCCTATCTGTCACCTTGTACCCACTCCGTCCCCCCTCTTACCCACCCTCCCCACTCTCTAGTAACCACTGTCTACTTTATCCTATGAGAACAGCATTTTTAGATTTCTCATATGCTTGAGAGCATGCAGTATTTATCTCTCTGTGCCTGGCTTATTTCACTTAATATAACATCCTCCAGGTTCATCCATGTTGCCCCAAATGAAAAGATCTCACTAGTTTCATGGCTGAAGAGTATTATTTTATTGTGTATATATACAACATTTTCTTTCTGTCAGTGGAAACAGGTTGATTCCATGTCTTGGCTATCATGAATAGTGCTGCAATAAATACAAAACTGCTGACATCTCTTTGACATACTGATTTTATTTCCTTTGGATATATATCTAGTAGTGGGACTGTGAGATGGGATTTGTATTTATTTAAAAGATCGAATTGTATATGTTGAGATAAATGGGAAGATCCATTTAGAAGTCAAATCAACTGAAAGACCATTGTAATCTTGGTGAGAAATGAACCAGAGTAGTGTCTGGGGATGGAGAAATGCAGGCATGTTGGAGATATGTCCGAGAGGTAGACTTGACCATGTATTTGCTTTTATGGAGGGCAGAATCCTAAAGAAAAGGAAACCGAAAAGGTGATTTCCACCCCCTCCCCCACTTCTGGTTTCTGGCTTGAGGAATTAGGTAGACAGAGGTACCATCACAAAGGGACACTAGGAGAATGATATAGAACCCAGAAGGTTGCCAAAGGACTCTTAGGTTCCAGGCCTGGGGTGGTGACTTCTTTCTAATCACATGTCAATATGGCAAGGGAGATGTGATCAGGAATGTTGACATGGTCCTTGACTCCCACAAACTCAGAATGGGAGCAGAACCAATTCTTTAGGTACAGGGTGCTAGTGGTCCCAGTTACCTGGAATCAGGGATAGCAGAGGCAAAACCAAAGCCAGGGCTGGGTGCAGTGGCTCACGCCTGTAACCCCAACACTTTGGGAGGCCGAGGCGGGAAGATCACGAGGTCAAGAGATCTAGACCATCGTGGCCAACATGGTGAAACCCCGTCTCTACTGAAAATACAAAAAATCACTGGGTGTGTTGATGCATGCCTGTAATCCCAGCTACTTGGGAGGCCGAGGCAGGAGAATCACTTGAACACAGAAGGCAGAGTTTGCAGTGAGCCGAGATCACGCCACTGCACTCCAGCCTGGCAACAGAGTGAGACTCCGTCTAAAAAAAAAAAAAACAAAAAACGAAACCAGGGTCTTTGGGGAATAATTACATCTTGAGGGTAGAGACCTCATGCTGGGGTTAGTGCCTTTACTTGTTTTTTAATTTTTTATTTTTTTTGAGATGGAGTCTCACTCTGTTGCCCAGGCTGGAGTGCAGTGGTGGTCACAGCTCACTGTAACCTCTAACTCCCAGGTTCAAGCGATTCTCCTGCCTCGGCCTCCCAAATAGCTGGGACTACAGGCACGTGCCACCAGGCCTGGTTAATTTTTTTTTTTTTTTTTTGGTATTTTTAGTAGGGATGGGGTTTCGCCATGTTAACCAGGATGCTCTCAATCTCCTGACCTCGTGATCCATCTGCCTTAGCCTCCCAAAGTGCTGGAATTATAGGCATGTTCCACCTACCTGGCCTTAGTGCCCTTGTAAAAGAGACTTCAAAAAGCTCTCCAGCCCTCTTTGTGCATGTGAGGACACATGGAGAAGCTGGCAGTCCCAACCCAGAAGAGGTCCTCACCAGAATCTGACTATGCTGTTATTCTGATCTCAGATGTCCAGTTTCCAGAACTGTGAAAAATAAAACCCTGTTGTTTTTAAGGCACCCAGTCTAGGAAAATTGGTTCCAGCAGCCTGAACAGACTAAGACAGCCTCTAAGGAGACTGCTCCTGGCAATCGGGAAGACCCAGGTGAGCAGAGCACTTTGCTGGGTTTGGATGCGCAGGGTTGGAGATGGAATGGGGCAGGGTTGACTGCTTTCCAGAAATAAAGAAGAATTTGGAGTTTTTGATTTATACTGGAGGAAGAGGACAGGAAGTGATAAAGGAGAGAAAGAAAGAAAAGAAGGCCCAGAAAGATGACAAAGTATTGGGCATGGTAGAAAATGTGTGCCGGGCAGGGTGCAGTGGTTCATACCTGTAACCCCAGCACTTTGGGAGGCCGAGGTGGGTGGATTACCTGAGGTCAGGAGTTCGAGTCCAGCCTGACCAACATGGAGAAATCCCGTCTCTACTAATAATACAAAAATTAGCTAGGCGTGGTGGTGCACACCTGTAATCCCAGTTTCTCAGGAGACTGAGGCAGGAGAATCACTTGAACCCAGAAGGCAGAGGTTGTGGTGAGCCGAGATTGCATCATTGCACTCCAGCCCGGACAACAAGAGCAAAACTCTGTCAAAGAAAGAAAGAAAGAAAGAAAGAAAGAGAGAGAGAGAGAGAGAGAGAGAGAGAGAGAGAGAGAGAAAGAAAACATGTACCAAAGTGACTCTTCCCCCTGTGACACCCCCTGACACCTCCAGAAAAATCTACGGAACTCAAAAGCATTGGAGTGACCGAGTTCCTGAAGGAAGGGGCCAAGCTGCAAGACGGGGTGACACGGAGAAGGCAGAGGAGGCCAGGAAATGGGGACAATTGCCGGACTGCAAAAATGGCTGAGTTTGAATGCCAGTTCTGTGGGATTCTTGATTATTCACTGAGAAGTCTGCCAAAATTCCACATGACATGAAATGGTAGTGGTGACGGAGAGGGTTTGGTTTGGGGCATTATTTTCACCTCTTCAGGGAGCAACTGGGATCTGAGAATCCAGCTGTGCTAATTAATGATTAGGGTGCCTTTTCCTCCTTCCAGTCACATTCCTCACTCTTAATTGCTTTCTTCCTTTTTTGTTGTTACCTCGTTATTTTCTTCTTCTGGCTCATTTCTTTTCCTTTTTTGAGATGGAGTCTTGCTCTGTCACCCAGGCTGGAGTGCAGTGGCGCGATCCCAGCTCACTGCAACCTCTGCCTCTGGTTTCAAGTGATTCTCCTGCCTCAGCCTCCCAAGTAGCTGGGATTATAGGCACCTGCCACCACACCTGGCTAATTTTTGTATTTTTGGTAGAGATGGGGTTTCTCCATGTTGGCCAGGCTGGTCTCAAACTCCTGACCTCATGATCTGCCCTCCTCAGCCTCCCAAAGTGTTGGGATTACAGGCATGAGCCACCTCACCCGGCCTGGTTTATTTATTTGATAGTAATACTTCAAATCCATCCCCCAACCATAAAATTGCCTTCTGGATAAACATACCTGCGTCTACCAATGTGCAACACACAGCCTAGAACTACATGTAGGGCCCCGACTTTGGGATGATGCGACGTCAGCCCCCCACTAAAGTTGGGGAGATTGAGCTCAGCCCAGAGGGTTTGTTTCTTTGTTATTCTTTTTTTTTTTTTTTTTTTTTTTTTTTGAGATGGAGTTTTGCTCTTGTTTCCCACGCTGGAGTGCAATGGTATGATCTCGGCTCACTGCAACTGCTGCCTCCCAGGTTCAAGCAATTCTTCTGCCTCAGTCTCCCGAGCAGTTCGTATTACAGGCACCCACCACCACGCCCAGCTAATTTTTTGTATTTTTAGTAGAGATGAGGTTTCACCATGTTGGCCAGGCTGGTCTTGAACTCCTGACCTCAGGAGATCTGCCCACCTCGGCCCCCCAAAGTTGTTGTTGTTCTTGTTGTTTTCCTCCTCCTTCTTCTCTTTCTTTGTCTTCCTCTTTTTCCTCTTCCTTCCTCCTCTTCATCCTCATCTTGATGTAAGCCACTGAACTAGCCTCTGCTATTTTATCAGTTGATTCTTCTACCACAATTTTTCACAGAAATATTTGATCTAAGAACATCTGCTACTGTCTGGAACATATTTTTTTTTCTTATACTTGACTTTGCACTTCCTATAGCTGTCAGATAAGCATCGTCTCACAGATTCTGCAACATAGCTCCATATTACTGAACAAACATCAATTATGCTTGTGGCTGGAATCATGTCAATCTGAATGCAAAATGTGCCAGCTGTCTTTCTTGTTAATGGGCATCTTAATTATGTTGGCCTAATTATGCTGATATTGCAAGTAATACTGTTCATTGTTGCTTTAGAAATAAAAATGATATCATCAAGTGACTTCCAAGGGTTTTCTAGCTGTGCTATCTTTTGCAGATTCAAAATATTAAGATGCAATAATTCTGAGCCACTCCTTGATGTGGACCTGCAATCTACTGGTCTCTCTACATCTGGACCCATCTCTGGAGGCTTCAGCTGCATAGGTCCGTCCCACTTGAGTCCTTGGCTTAATTAATTCTATTGTCATGGCTCTTTTTATTGAAATAGGTTAGGGACATGTATCTGAGAGGTTTCGTTTCAGACCCTCAGTATTGACAAAACTGTTTTCCGTGTTTCTCTTCAAATTTCTGTATTCATGCTGTCTAAAACCTCAATAGCTAGCATACCTGAGACTTGTATTTATGTTTATTTTCTTGGTGATTAGTATTATTCTTTTGAAAAAACAACATAACCTTCTCTTTCCATCTCCTTTTCTCTCTTTCTAAAAAATACTCAATTTGAGAACCAATAATCCTGTTCCTGAAAATTAATCCTAGAGAAAAATTTTGACCAAAAAAAACTAAATGCACAAAACGCTCCTGGAAAATTTTTCTTTAATAACAATAAAAGATACTGTTATCTAAATATTATTGATTATAGTTGTCACCACAAGAGGCACCCAGATTATGGTCTTTGTCGATATTCCATTTTATTTGCCACAGCGAATGAGGTGATGGTGTTTTTCCCTGAATACCATAACCTGACAAGACCAGTCATTGAGCCCAAGGTTATTGCAGGATGTCTAATTGATAAATGAGAGACTGCACATGTTTCACATTAAAAACGTTGACTTTCTTTCAGTTTTCCAGAACTCCATATCCAATACCAATTCATCACCAAAGGGGATACAGCGGGAGGCTTCTCCTTTGCATGATAAGGCAGGGTTCATATCGGTTATCTGATGACGGGCACCTGACATTCCGGGTTTATTATGAACACACAGAGCCAGCACATTTTGGACCCTTCTATAGCTACAACTAGTCTCAGAGAAGAAAGAGCACATGATTTCCAAGGACTGGCCCTTCCAAGAGGATGGAAGAAAAGCAAGTCTTTCGAATGCATCACAGGCAAACCTCCACCTTTTCTCTATTCCCCTTCCTTCTCTGTCTGCTTTCTTCTTCCTTTCCTTCATAGACCCATAAACAATGTCAATTACAGGGTTAAAGGAGGAAGAGAGCAAAAATTTCCAACCTTGATTAGGATTTGCGCTTCTAATACATGCAATGGATTTAACAAATGCTAAAAAATGGCTAAAGCAACAGTGGCCAAGAGAGAAAAATAATATGCACTTGTTAAAAATAATAATTTTAAAGAATCTAACGACATGGAAATGGTATTGGTATAACACCAAGGAGTAAGAGCAGAATATAAAATTTAGTGGGTACTCTGTTTACTTATGAAAATGAAGATAGTGAATAATTTTTAGTAGTGTTACAATTTTTATTTAGTTATTTAATTTAAATATTTAGTACAAAAGGGAAACTATTTTATGGTGTATTCTGTGGGATTTTCAAACAAGTTTTATAGTTAAGAAAAATACCTTTACATCCTTACATACCTCTTATTCCAAATAGTAGAATGATACTTAAAAATATCTCCAAAATAACAAAAACTGCAGTGTATAAACCTTATGAAGAATCTGATTTGAAGATACCAACTGTAAAAAGAGGTTCTTGAGAACACTGGGGACATTTGACTATGAAATGTGTATAAAATAATATTAAAAGTTATTGTTAACTTTTTAAGGTGTGATAATGTCATGGTTGTTATGCTAAAAAGAGAAGTCCTTACCTGTTAGAAACAGATACACGTGAAAAATGATTCTTGAGATTTGCTTTAAAATTTTTAAAAATGTAGAATAGAGCAATGTGAGACAAGATTTTTAAAATGATGATAATCATTGAAGCTGAAATGGGTAATGGACACATTGATATGTATCATAGTTTTTAATTTTGGGGTATGTTTAAAATTTTCTGAAGAAGAAAAATGTAATAATACAACTGGCTGCAGTTATGAAAATAAAAGTAAATGAATATCAGGATAATCTTGGGTCTTGTTGTATTAATTCAGGGTAATTCAAGATTTTACTGACACTGAAAAATGAGATTTAGTGGATTGTTTTTCTCTGTGAACTTTACTGTTCATGATGTTGTTTCATGCATGAGATGCTAGGGACATATTTGCATATACTGGGAAATGCTAAAATTTTCTTGACTTCCTTTTTATGAATCAAGTTGTTTATCACTAATTGCTCTTTAACTGCCCATTCAAATCATTAAGATCGAGAATGTAACTCCTGTTTAATTCTAAAGGAATTTTCAGTGATATAAGAAATAAAGAAACACAGGAGAATTAAAGACTTAAAAATTCAGAGATTATACAAAATGAACAAAGAAAGCTCATATTTCCAGGTAGCATTGAGACAGTGTCTTAGAAACAGGATACCATATTTGTTTCTGAGTTTCCTGGCAAACAAGGCTAAAAGCAAAACACAGATGATACCCAGAAAGTAAAATCAGACACATTTACCTGTATTCATAACAAAACTACACTTCTGATGAAACGTATCTCTGACGATTATTCTTGGATATTGAGTAACACTAGTATAACCTTTGCTCGCTGTTTTATATAAGACATAGAGATGCCATGTAAATAAAAGCTTCCTGATTTCATTCTCTACGAAGCTTAAAAATACATCGTTAATTGTAAATCAGTAGCATTGGCTCCATCGAAGGTTAAAAAAATATGGTTCAGGCATTTTGTTTTCTGAAGATCTAAGTAAAGTGAATAATATCAAAGAATGGTCAAGCCATGTGTCCTTAGCTAGTCTGTCTGGCACCTTCAGGATCTGGTGAAACCTGGGCAAGGGCTGGAGGAGCAGAGCTGCCCTCTCTCCCAGACTCTCCTATGCCCACACTGACCATTGATCCCCACATTACACTTTGGAAAAACACCAATTCAGTTACACATTCCCAGGGACCCTACCAGAAAGGTTTCAAAGTCAAATACTGAGATGTGATGGACTAAACAATGTTAAATCAGTTTTCTTTCTTTCTTTCTTTTTTTTTTTTTTTTTTTGCTGCAGGACACTTCTAGTTTTGAACACACCAGGTTTTAACTTGAATGTGCGAGAGGCGTAAAGTGTATGATTTCTCCAGTTTGGTTGACCACGGAATCCCTTTTTCTCCCCTGCTTTTAAAAAAATGTGGCATGTTTTATTATCTCTTTCCTTTCAACACATTATTTAGGAAACCCTGGACTATGGAATCGGCTGAAATGAGAGCCATGAGCTTTATATAACACTGAAAGCACCGTGGTTCTCTTTCTGTCATTCAGAGCCAAACTTGCAGACTCCCAGATTAATATGGTGGCTCATAGCAGGTGCCTGATTGCCTGATTCATCCTCTCCCATCCTCCCATTAAAACACCATTGAAGGCACATGCAAAATTGCAAAATTGCAACTGCACCAGAAGCTAAGAATACCAATTAATGCTTGGCCACAGTCTAGGAAGGATTTCTGCCAATAGCAGTGCAGATGAGGACAGATTGAGAAACTCTCATTAGCTGATGCACAATGCAGCTTTGAGGCAGAGCACCAAGGTCAGACAAGAGGGAGCCCAGCCCATCGCAGAGGTGCCCCGCAAGTGCCCAGGAGAAGCTGAGTACCAAACTCCAGGCAAGATGAAGTTGCATCCCAAGGCAAAGAGGGCCACTTCTTTAACCCCAACCACAACAGTCCTGCTAATCTGTACATCTTAACGAGTGCAACCCCCAAAGCAAAGCAATCAGAGGTTCTTGGTCATTAAAATACTTT